TTTTGCCCCGCAGAGCGATGAATCCGTATAGCGACAATTTTTTCGGAACGGATTATCGTCGCTATGTGGGGCACCACTGTATATGGCCCGCTAAATCAGAGGCACACTTACACAATTGTTTTTACACTTCAGATGTGATATACAGTGACCCCCTGTGACCTACCCTTCTGGTTCGAGATCTTTCCATCTGCACATGGAACACAATCATAGCAACAAAAAGGCTTCCCCTCCTTCTTTTTCCTTCTGTAACCTGGGTGGCAGTTGTCATTACACTGTGCAATGGGCAGCACCTGTATGTGGAAAGACATTGTATATGGATTCTAAATTGGCAACCATCTGCAATAAGTTGATGCAATGCAGTGCTGGTAACCATTCCTGCCACTTCTCATCTCAACAATGAAAGTAGTCCATGGATTTAGAGGAGATTTGATGAGTCATTTCCTCCATAAACCCCATTGATTCAAATGGACCTTCTCTTGGGTGACTTACTGTGCAGAGCAACAGGACGTCAGCCTGAATGAGAAATAGGAAGGGCAGTCTACACTCTCAATGGGACTGGATTCTTGGAAAAAATATTAGATGTCTCTAACTTTGGGGCACAAGGGAGCGAGCATACTGTGTCCTCACATTCCACTTAAGTACCACTAATTCTGAAAAACCACACATTCTTTCACTCTTCCACTATGCACCATCTGTGTGTATTACATGCTGTGAAGTCGGGATTAATTTATAGTGACCCCAATAGAGTTTTCAAGGGCAGTGAGATATTTAAGGGAGGATCAGTCCACCCCACAGAATCATGTGTGTGTTCTGTGCTGTCAATTCAGAACTGACTTAAAACAACCCTAATAGGGATTTCAAGGTGAGATATTTGAGGAGTGGTTTTACCAGTTCTATTCCCTCATTAAGTTTCCATAGCCAAGTAGGGATTTGAACCCTGTTCTTCACAGTCCTGGTCCATCACTCTATCCACTCAACCACACTGGGACATACTGAGATTCAATATGCAAAAATACATAACTCTCTTAGATTATGACATCTCCATCCCATTAAATGCTCAGAGTATTCAAATACAATGAATAGCACCAAGAATTTGACAAAACAGCCTTTTCCCAGATAGCTTCACAAATTATATCTACCACAGAATCCCACCTGATTAAATGTTCTGTGCCATGAGATGGCATCTTTGTTAAGGGTGAACTCTTGACTCGGTAAAATACTTCCCACTTTCACTTTTACAATGGATTGGTTTGGGAAAGTAATCCAGTTGATAATATCAAAGCCGGCCACTAATTCACCATTCTCATCAAACGACACCAATTCCCCGGCACTGTTGTTGAATGAGATACTTTTCAGGAAAGAGTGAAACTAAAGTGTTCAAAAAGGCAAACAGCAACATGTGACCATTTTTGTGATTCATGTTACAGAATTTTAAAAACCTCAAAAATTGCTCTGCAATTCTTGGTAAAAAGCAGGAGAATGTTCAATGGAGCTTCCATCACAGAAGAAGCAAGAGCAACAAAAATTCAAACACACTAGCTGCCAGCAAGAAGGCTAATAGCTTGAGAACAAGAATCCAACAATATACATAAAGTATTATATTATAGTTCAAACTGGGTCTTAAAAAGTCCAGCCTAGTCCAGAGCCCTGGGTAAACAACTCAGCTGCTATCTCTTCCTGTTATCAAGTTAGAAAAGCCAATGATTAAAAACTGGAGTCTTCGGAGTTCTAGCAATTCCCTAGTAATAGCGGAGGATGTAAAAATGAGCTTTGGTTGAAAGAACTTTGCATTAAAAAAAACCATGTAAAATGAGTTATATTAAAAGTTAACTATAAAAACTATTAAAAGCGAAAGCATGTAAAGCGTGCTGCTTGTCTACTGCCCCATAGCACTTCAAGCACTCTCTGGGTGGTTTACAAGTTAATTATGCAGGCTACACATTGCCCCCCCCCCCCAGCAAGCTGGGTACTCATTTTACCGACCTCAGAAGGATAGAAGGCTGAGTCAACCTTGAGCCGGCTACCTGGGATTGAACCCCAGGTCGTGAGCACAGTTATGGCTGCAGTACAGCGGTTTAACCACTGCACCACGACGCTCTTTATTTAACTCCACAAGGACTTAAATAAAGAGCAAGGAACCAGAAGCCCCTCAAAAATCATGGATAGAGATGGCAACAAACCACTGGTCCTCTTTCATTTACCACTGCAACAGGTGTTTGGTGATTTGATGCCCTGCCCCCTTCTGGCAGACACTTACTCAGTGTCAGCACCTGGAAGAGGTGGGGAAGGGAAGCTTGGATGCTGCCTCAGAGTGGGCACGCACCAGAGGGTGTGGGGCACCAAATTCCCTGAACACCGGTTGTGATGGTAAATGAACTGGGATGATTGTCCGTCTCTAATCATGGAACAAATACACAAAATTATCTACTAACAGAACCTACTTTATCATCGGGAATGTTCTGGGTTTGGAAAAAACACTGTTGCACCCCATGGGGTTTCCATAGTTACTGGGGGGGGGTCCCTGGAATGTTACACAGACATAGTACTTAGTCTAACTTTTTGGAACTATCTAGTGTCTGAGGTCACATGGAAAACATTTTAATATTTGCATTTCTATATCTGGATTTCTATACAGCGCTGTTCTCAAGAAAGGGAGCAGGAAAGCATGTGAGAAGAGAAAGTAAGTTTAAAATGAAATAAACATAGACTATTTTGTGCGCTCTATTAGAGAATGGCACCACAAATAAACATTACCTGCCAGGGTTGCACATTTGGAGGACATAGTCTACTGTTGCCCATCACTCTGTTGGCCTTCGACTTAAACATGTTGTCTAAAGCATGTGCTATTGCGTGGACTGCATTATAGATGCTGTAGCTTTTATCAGTCATGCTCATTTCAAAGAGAGTCGCAGGGAGGCTTTCTAGTTTTTCTTCTCCTGTGCAGTTATTTTTATCTTCATGTGAACTGGCCCACAAGCAGTTGAATGCCTGTTCCCAGAACATTCTGAAAAAAGCATTCCCTGTCTCTGTGCCAGGATGTAGCCTTTGTAAGAATTCTGGAAACTCCACCACTTCATTGGCGTGAATAGCAAAAGACAAGGTACCGCAAAATGGCTCTATGTCAAAAGCCCTGTGCATGGTTTCTGCTGAGAAGTCCCATTGGGCTGTCATAATCCACACTTTCCCCAAAAGATTCTCTGAAATATTTTCAAGCATCGAATAGAAATATAGGAACCATTTTAACCATGTTGTAGTCTGAGGCTCAGCGTTTACAACAATTACTTTGATTTCGGGATTGGTCAAGGAATTGATCTTGGCTTGGAGGGTCTCAAAGGATCCCACTATCTCCATAACTTGAGATAACGATGGCGTTCTCTCATGGAAACCAACACAGACTCCATGGTGAGAAAGCATTGGTATCACAGTCTGTCCAAACTTTTCTCCAATCTCATTGTCAGAGACAATGACTCCAATCCACGTCCACTGGAAATATTTCAGTAGTTGGACAAGTCCAATAAATTGATAATTTTCATTTGGAACCATCCGGTAGAAAGCAGGTAGCTGGGTTCTAACATCCCCTATGGGAGCTAATATACTATAGGAAATCTGAAAATACAAAGAAAAAGATTGTGTGATTCTATGTTTCAAAAGAAAGGTAGCAGAAATGTATGTGTAACACCTATTCCTTACCTAGTTATTCTTGTCAGGTCAGGGATTCTGAATCCTGAACATTTCCCTAAAGGTTACCTAGTTATTCTTGTCAGGTCAGGGATTTTGAACCCTGAACATTTCCCTAAGAGTCCTACAGAACATAATAGACCTCTAGGGAAAAATCAGAAACCTGTGTTCATCACAGCTAGATTTTATCCAAAAAAAAGTGTTAATTCCAGAGAAACCAGACAATTATTGACAATCATATCAATAGGCATCTGAGTATTAAGGTATAAGTCTTGCAATGATCCTACACAATACTTTTACAACTATAAAGAAAACTGTAGGCACAAACGATTAAAAACAAATGAAAACTAAAATTAAGTTGCTGACTTAAGTATTTAAGTCAGAAACAAAAGTCAGTTGTAAACTTTTAACAATAAAAGTCACAGACAAGAACTTAAATCATATTTGGATCCAAAACTCATGGGGTTTATGGCCTTAAAAGGCAAATGTAAAAACAAAAGAAAGAGAATGCATCTTTAAAACAAAGTTCTTAAGAATAAAATATATTAAAGAAAATAACTTTATTAGCTCTAAGTGTACACACAAAATAATTCTAAGTGCTCACTCAGCCAAATCAGTTTAATTCTCTGGAGGAAAATCCATGTTGGCCATGTTGCCGGCTTTTGGAAATGAAGTTGTTGTGCTGCTAACATGGTTGTTGTTCTTTGAGGTCTCTTGCCCAAAATGGTGTGAAGTTGCAATGATGTGATGAATTCCTGAATGCTTGTGTGTGTGTCATCTCCCTATATTTATAATCCTTTTGGTTGTCCACACCTCTCCTCAGTCTGTAAACAATCTCTTTTCCAGTGGCTGGGCGATCGATGAGTTTTGAGCTCCACAAAAATGTTTTTAATGGGAATATTAACTGTTGTTGCATCTGCTGGAACTCCAGAGTTTAATAACATAACGTATATCTGTCACACTGACGGATACACTGTCAGTGATTGTCTGGTTTCATAGATGAAGAATTTTAAAACCCTGAGAAAAAAGACTTTCTATAATTGGCAGTAAATGTTCCTAGTACACAGAAGGACTGGCTGAGCATTAAGCCATATGAAAACCACCCATTCAGCGCTCAAAATTTTTACAGGAAGCAACAGTCCTGGTTTCCAAAAATTGGTTAAATCACATGATTTTGTACAAAAATGGGCCATTACTGCACACAATCTTGTTCTTGTTCTTGCCAATGTAAGAGTTCAGTCAAGAATGTCAGAAAATTCTCCATCATCCTTGCCAGGAGAAAGAAATGCTTCAACTCTTCATCCTCACATGTAATGACAAAGCAAAAGGTGATTTACATCTCTAAGTCCCATTGACCTAAAGGGATTTGCATGAATATTGACTTACCACTCAGCAATTGCTTCAATAGGTTTATTCTTGATTGTGACTAGCAATGGGATACTGGGTATAATTTTAAAAAGTAGTTTATTATGGAGATCTGCAGCATTGCTTTTACCTTCTACCTCCTAATTAGTTAGTTATCTATTGTCAAGTTTGAATTGACTTATAATGACCCTAATAGGGCTTTCAAAGTAAGTGATATTTAAAAATGATTTTACCAGTGGGTTTCCGTGTCCAAGTGGGGATTCAAACCCTGGTCTTCAGAGTCTTATTCTATCACTCTATCCACTACACCATACTAAGTACTTACTTACAAATGCTTCATCAGAATTAGTTATTTAAGCTGAACATGACCAATAGAATTCTCAAGTTTCTGGTAGGGACCATAGACACACACACACACACACAAATCCGCAAGCATTGAGTCAGTATAAGACAAATCCGTCTCTTCACCCTTCTGAACCTATCTTGCCAGTTACTGCTATAAGCAAGAAATAGACATGGATTGATTCACAGGATCATTCCTATAGCAATGCAACAAAGTTGGGGTGCATCATGAAGCAATACAAGAGCATGTCAGAACAGATTTTTACAGGTCCTGGGTACAAGATTTGGCTCTTAAAGTTCTAGGCAAAGTGTGATGGCATGTAAGAGATGTAGAAAGTAAGGGTAGTTTGTGGCATCACTGCTGATCATGGCAATGGCATGGTTGTGAGGGCATCATGCTTCATTTAGAATAATAGAATAATTGAGTTGGAAAGGAGCTGTAAGGCCATTGAGACCAAACCTTGCTCAGTGCAGGAATCCAAATCAAAGGAGATATGACAGATGGTTGGCTAGTTTTGTCTTGAATGCCTCCAGCATTGAGTGCCCACAACCTCCTGGCTTTTTGAAGATTAAGATGACATGAGATAGCCTTAGCATTGTTCTTGAATTGTAGATGCATCTCTTTTATGTCATTAAACGCTGTACAATTTGGAAAAACTCAGTCCTGTAGGTCCATTTACCTGTGGAATCTTGTAGATGCTTAAGATTGTTGCCATGTGAAAGGAAATTTCAGAGTCCAGGCCTCCAATTACAGCTATCATATTCATTTTCTTGTCACATTTAAAGTTGGGGACAATCTTTTCTGAGACAGACAGAAGTTTCAGGGTGTTTTGATGGGTTATCTTTGCATTTGTGTAACTGTCAAAGATGTGGAAGCCAAGGCTGACATTTGGCAGAATAATTGGGTTCTCATTGATCTCCTTCACAGCAAATGCCAAGGACAATACATGTTGGTAGTTCTTGGGTGTTGAACTAAAAGAAGAATTATGTCATCCATTCATGTAGTTTTAGAAGAGGTAATCACGTTAGCAAGCATATCAGGCAAAATCCAAGAAACAAAACAAAACACAAAAGCTTACATTAAAATATAATAGCTAGTCTTTAAAGTTGTTGTCGCTTACATTAAAATATAATAGCTAGTCTTTTAAAGTTGTTGTCTTTGCTTTATTTCTTTGGATTTTGCCTGATATCATTCATTCATTCATATTTCTTGTACACAAATATATAGCTAAAATAGCTTGCAGAGAGTCATACGTAAAAATAACAGCATGACAATCGTTATGTATAAATGATACACACAACTCTTAGGACTGAAATCTCCTTTTTTTCAAGGCTATAGAAACTAGGAAAGTGAGAACAGATAAATAGTATTAGGTTACAGTCTTTCCTACTTGCAGAGTACTTCAGTGTATTTCCACCTATGCTGTGTCTTTCCTGTGTTTATTCATTAGACTCTTCTAAGCAGTCTGCTTCCAGTTTGGGAATAAAAGGCAATAACAATATATAAGGATATGCAAGTCCTACTTAATCCTTCATATTCATTAAAACTGGATGTTCATCTCCATCATTGAAACCAATAGGTCTTTAAAATGGCTATGTTTGGCTGGAATATACTCAACTTGCAATATATAGGGCAGTCAACAGACTATACTAAAGTGGTCATAAAGACCCAGATGAAATAGGAAAAAAACATAGTTTTCTGCTGTTTAAAATTAATCTACTTTTTAAAACATTACATCACCATCACAATATCTGAGCATCTGAAACAGAGACACTGAAGGATGGAAAAGAACATAGATGAGAACTGTATTCTGAAGGGATCTGCCACCCAAGCAAACACCAGAGCTTTTGAAGAAGGCTGCAACTGAAAGAGGAATCAAGTGGTTAAAGATACAAAGTTCTCTTATGTGTCAAGGAAACACATAAAATCAAAAAGGCAGAGAAGAGCAGGAGAAACAAATGAAAATCAGTGAAGCATCAAGAATATGTGTTTATTTAATATCACCATGCGCCATCAAGTCAATTCTGACCCATGGCAACCGTTTTCACATCATCATCATGCGCCATCAAGTCAATTCTGACACATGGCAATCGTTTTCACATCTTTCCAGGTAGAGAATACTCAGAAATGTTTTACCATTGCCTTCTTCGAGTGTCCTAGAACGGTGCACCTTGCCGAACGCCACACAGGTTGGCTTTACTTACAGGAGGCACCATGGAGAATGAACTCCCAGCTTCTGGCTCTCCATTCAGATACCTAAAACCACTGAGCTATCTAGTCAGCTGGTTTTTTTTTTTAATAAACATGCTCTAGATCTTAAGTATATCTTCAGAGCTAATCTTATGGAAATGGAATACACAACTTTTCATCAGACAGCTTTGTGTTGAGTATGATCTGCCAGTTGCATGTCATGGACAAAGAATGGTTTCCTTACATAATTTCACACATATTCTGTGCTGCGGGGGATTCACACAAAGATACCTCTCCACATACGTAACCAAACTGAGTCACAATGGCTCCGATTACGAGGTGTCCTGACTGGTGATGCTTGCTAGATGCTAGATTTTCAAAGAGATCGCTTGAAATGGTACACAGAAGTGTAGATTCATTACATGCAATGGAAGGCATCTGCGGCCATAGAAAAAGTAGCATCAAAAGAAATAGCTTTCCCATCTGTGAAAAATATTGTTTAGTAATACTCATTCTCTACCCACAATGAGACAAATATATTATTTTCTGCTGACGGCCTGTCTTCTTGGTTTTCAGTGAAATGCATATATTAACTTTGACTATGTTATTGATTGTAGCCTTAATTAATTTTAGGTAATTACAAGATTCAAAGTCATATCTCTGGGGTATTGTGTTTTTGCAAACCCCCAGCCACAGCAGAATATCCAAAGAAAACATGTTTGTCATAATTCACTGTTGGCTTGCAGGACAAATTTGTATTCATGTCTACTTGGAAAGACGTCTTATTATATCCAATGGAGCTTACATATGTGTAAGATTACAGTCATAGGCTGTAATTCTAAACATACGTTTTTGTGAATAAGTCCCAGTGAACATAGTAGTTTTATTTCTGAATATACATGCTAAGAACTCTGCTGAATGAGGACAGGATATGTTGACTAAAGGGGGAAATGTTCAAAAGATATACATCCCTTTTAAAAAAAAGCTTGTTTAGAGACTCAGAACTCTTTGTACTCCATAGGCATCAGGAAGGCATTCTTAGCAAACAGTTACATTTAAGTGCTTGTACGCTGTACACCTTACTGTGTTCATAAGTCACTTACTTGCAACATCTTGTGATTGGCAGCATGCACTACGGAGTCTTACCAACACAATGTAATACTTTGGGCTCATAGTAGAAGTCACTGTAAATAATATAGGTGCATAAGAATTTGCCTTTTACCAGGCCTTTATCAGGTCACACTGCTGGTTCACGAGGTTCAGTATTGTCGTTGACCAGCTATGCTGCTCAAGGGTTTCAGAAAGGCATATTTTCTGGAAAGGTTGAAAATGGAACTTCATGAAAAGTATGTACTCTACCCCAGTGGTTCTTGACCTTTGTTACTCAGGTGTTTTTGAACTGCAACTCCCAGAAACCCCAGCCAATACAGCTGATGGTGAAGGCGTCTGGGAGTTGCAGTCCAAAAACACCTGAGTAACAAAGGTTAAGAACCAGTGCTCTACCCTAAGCGATGGCTTTAAGTCATGGTAATTCATTTGCAAGGATACCCAGTGTGATGTGGTGGATAGAGTGATGGAATAAAATTCTGGAGACCAAGGTTCGAATCCCCACTTGGCCATGGAATCTCACTGGGGGAGTGGAACTGGTAAAACCACTCCTTAAATATCACACTTACTTTGAAAGCTCTAATAGGGTTTCTGTAAGTCATTTCCAACTTGACAGCACACAACAACAACAACTCATTTACGAAGTTTGTTCTTGGATCTTTCTTTGATATACTAGATTTGACCAATTGGATTTGATCTGTGTATTTGTGGCAGGAAGCTTAACTGTGTACTTCATTTCAGTATCAAGTTTTGTCTTTACTGCTGCTTCTAGTAGACATTCTAGAATCACCTGGAAGTTGAGTCATGGCAACTGGACTTCCTTCTTATTATAGGCTGAAACATTTAAATAATAATAAGAAAGAAGTCCAGTTGCCATGACTCAACTTCCAGATAACTTCACCTGGATGACTGAGAATCTTCACAGATTCTAGAATCATGTTGGATTTTATGTAGCTCTTTGTTAACACCCGCAACAATAATCTACTGAAGACATTAAATTTGGGGTCTCCACCTCCTTGTGGGTTATGGCACATTTGTATTTTTTTAATATAATGCTCCCAGGTATAAACACCAAATGATCACTGTGGAACAGTGCAGCTAACAATAACAGAGTTGCTTTTGAGATCGGACCACTCACACAACATAATGAAACCCTCTTCTCTTGTTCTATGTCTGTATTTGTCCTGTGTGTGTTCTTACTAACTTTTGCTAATTTTTTCTTTTCTTTTCTCTGTTTTTAAAGAGGGTTTCTTATAAGAGTTCCTTTTTTACCTCCTCCCTGTGGAGGCATACAAGATTTACCCATATTACATAAATATAATTTATGAAACACTTTGCATGCTTCTTTAACATGCATGATGCTGTCATGTGTAAAACATTTGTTTTATTTATTCCTATCCTGAATTTCTCCCATTTTCAGGACTTAATGCATTTTAAAACAGAATAAAATAAAATAATTTAAAATGAAATCCAGAAATAATTAAAACACACTACTAAAATACAAATATATTTTAAAACACATTTTAAAATCCTAAAACAGATATTTAAAAGTGTACTAAACCTCCCCATCTTATTTGCCTGATGACTCCCCAAAAGCCTCTCTAAAGAGGAATATTTTCAATTTTTGCTGTAAGGAAAAGAGAGAAGGGGGCTGTGAAGATTCTACCCATCCTGGGTCTGTAGGTATAAATGTATCTATAATTAATCATATAAAGTTTGTATGAGAATAGCATTGTATGCCTCTGTAGTAGCTATGTACGGATAGAGTCCTAGTGTGATTGACAGATGAAAGAGACGCTGTTGATCGGCTACCATGACTGAAATATTGTGGAAATAGTGTCCCTATGTCAGTTAAAAGGTGGCTGTTAAGCTAGGATCACAGAAAGAGATCATTATGAAATCAGAACATTAGAGGAGATTTGAGAGTTGGATTAAAAGGAAGTTTGTTTTAGGGTTAGTCAAGAAAAGTTGTTTGTGCTAGAGTTTATTAAAATACATCTATCCATAGACCTTAAAGTATGTATCAGAAAGTTTGAAAGCCTTATAGACTTACATTTTACTGTTGTTTCAACCTTCATCATTCATACCTTAGAACAATGGTTCCCAACCTTGGGTCCCCAGATGTTCTTGGACTACAACTCCCAGAAATCCTACCCAGCACAGCTGGAAGTGATGAAGGCTTCTGAGAGTTTTTGTCCAAAAACATCTGGGGACCCAAGGTTGGGAACCACTGCATTAAAACCTATCTTTCACTGAATCCCTTTTACTTGTGGCCCTCAATAAAAATCCTGTTTCTTTCTTTAAACCAAGCACTCCTCATTAATTTTTTTGTGTGTGTACGTAAGAATCAGTAATTCAAATTAATAGCAGACAAAAAATACACATAGCTATGTTTTACAAATAGGATCACAGAAATTAGAACCAAGAAACCTTTTCACAAAACACCAGCCTGGGGCAAAGTAGGATTTGGCCAGGAGAGTATAGAAGGAACAACCCCAAAATACTTGGATGTGACTTTGGAGTGTGGTTGTTTCTTCCAGTTAATGCCTGAAAGAACACACTGAAAGAGACACTAAGGAGTGTTGGCTAGGATTTTCTTCGTTAAAAGGTGCCTGTGTGGTGTCTGTGATCACCTGAGAAATGTGTGGCCCAGCAGAAAGGGCAATACCTCCTCAGGGGGCACATCACAAAGACAGGCAAACTTCTCCAAGAAGGGAATTCCACAACCTGGAAGCAGTCACAGGAAAAAAAAAACCTCTCTCAAATATACTTGTGAAAGTGATGGGAGTAAGGCAAGGCACATTCTGTTAATTTTGATTATCTCAGGGGCTCACACAAGGAGACACAGTTTTTCAGACAGGATGGAAATAAGCACTGAAGGGCTTTAAAGATTTATTTCAATGGTGAATTCAGTAAGCAATCATATTAGATTGCTTGGCCTCACAAATACAGTGGTGTCAAAAGAAATTGTTTCACATGTAGAAAATGCACTTTGTCAGGTCTTTAATGAAACAGTACAACTTCTAATTTCAATCACAGAAGTTTTCTTACTCACATATGCACTCTAGGAAAAGAAGAAGAAACCCTGCATCCTTCAGAATTCTCCCTTTCTACCCCTTTAACCTTGTTAAGCTGGATGTGGTCAAAGAGATGATGGCAAGAATAAACATTGACATCCTGGGCGTCAGTGAACTAAAATGGGTGGGAATGGGTGAATTCAATCCAGACGATTATCATATCTACTATTGTGGGCAAGAATCCCATAGAAGAAATGGAGTAGCCCTCATAGTCAACAAAAGAGTGGGAAAAGCTGTACTGGGATACAATCTCAAAAATGATAGAATGATTTCAATATGAATCCAAGGCAGACCTTTCAACATCACAATAATCCAAGTTTATGCACCAACCACCCATGTGGAAGAGACTGAAATTGGCCAATTCTATGAAGACCTACAACACCTTCTAGAACTGATACCAAAGAAAGATGTTCTTGTCATTTTAGGGGACTGGAATGCTAAAGTCGGGAGTCAAGAGATAAAAGGAACAACAGGTAAGTTTGGCCTTGGAGTTCAAAACGAAGCAGGGCAAAGGCTAATAGAGTTTTGTCAAGAGAATAAGCTGGTCATCACAAACACTCTTTTCCAACAACACAAGAAGTGACTCTACTCTTCTACAGTATATAGAAGCTCATACAGTCAGGAAAAACAACAACTGGAGCCAATCGTGGCTCTGATCATCAGCTTCTCAAAGCAAAACCCAAGCTTAAACTGAAGAAAGTAGGAAAACCACTGGGCTAGTCAGGTATAAACTAAACCAAATACCTTATGAATACACAGTGGAAGTGAAGAACAGATTTAAGGAACTAGATTTGGAGAGTGCCTGAATAACTATAGGAAAACAAAATGCAAGGGAGATAGCGAAAGTTACAGAAAATTGAATGCAGACTTTCAAAGAATAGCAAGGAGAGACAAGAGGGCCTTCTTAAATGAACAGTGCTAAGATATAGAGGAAAATAATAGAAAGGGAAAAACCAGAGATCTGTTCAAGAAAATTGGAGATATGAAAGGAAAATTTTGTGCAAAGATGGACATGATAAAGGACAAAGATGGGAGGGACCTAACAGAAGCAGAAGACATCAAGAGGTGGCAAGAATACACATAGGAATTATACCAGAAAGATCTGGATGACCTGGACAGCCCAGACAGTGTGGTTGCTGACCTTGAGCCAGACATCCTGGAGAGTGAAGTCAAGTGGGCCTTAGAAAGCATGGCTAACAACAAGGCCAGTGGAGGTGATGACATTCCAGTGGAACTATTTAAAATCTTAAAAGATGACACTGTTAAGTTGCTACACTAAATATGCCAGCAAGTTTGGAAAACTCAGTAGTGGCTAGAGGATTGGAAAATAGAAGGGGAAGTTATGAAGGCAGGGATAGATTTTACCTTCTTGGGCTCCATGATCACTGCAGATGGTGACAGCAGCCCCAAAATTGAAAGATGCCTGCTTTTTTTGGGAGGAAACTGATGACAAACCTAGACAGCATCTTAAAAAGCAGAGACATCACCTTGCGGACAAAGGTCCGCATAGTCAAAGCTACGGTTTTTCCAGTAATGATGTATGGAAGTGAGAGCTGGACCATGAAGAAGGCTGACCACCAAAGAATTGATGCTTTTGAATTGTGGTGCTGGAGGAGACCCTTGAGAGTCCCCTGGACTGCAAGGAGAACAAACCTATCCATTCTGAACGAAATCAAGCCTGAGTGCTCACTGGAAGGACAGATCCTGAAGCTGAGGCTCCAAGACTTTGGCCATCTCATGAGAAGAGAAGACTCCCTGGAAAAGCCCCTGATGTTGGGAAAGTGTGAAGGCAAGAGGAGAAGGGGACGACAGAGGATGAGATGGCTGGACAGTATCATCGAAGCTACCAACATGAATTTGAACCAACTCTGGGAGGCAGTGGAGGACAGGAGGGCCTGGTGTGCTCTGGTCCATGGGGTCACGAAGAGTCGGACATGACTTAATAACTAAACAACAACCCCCCCCCCCTTTTAATGAGAAAGATCTGACAAGTACCCTTCTTTCATGTATGCTAATTCTCTTTCTGGCAAAAAGAGAGGAAGGAAAGGAAATCAGAAAGATTTTACCAAAAATATCTCATTTCACTTGCTCATGTTAGAAGTCATGTGAAAGGCAATGTTGAAATTCCCCACGGATAACTATCAGAATCTATCAGAATCTTATGGTTGTTATCTGTGAAAGATTGAGACCATTCTTTCTGAGGCAGAAATATGTTTCATGATGTTCCTCTGACATACATCTTTGTCTACAAATAATTACCATAGTTTTTTTTAAACCTGAGGGCTATAGTTGGTAAGATCTTAGGATTCTAATTCATCTCCTTGGTTGGAAATGACATTAGGAGGACAAATAAAGATTGATTTGAAGTTGCACTAGCAAAAGTACTGCTATATATCTAAGATGATGATTTGATCCTTCTGGAAACCCTGTTTGGGAAATATGGTCTCTATGCCAATATCATTAGTATATTGAAATTGATTTGCAGAATATGACATTCAAACAATGCAAACTTTCTCCGAGTTCTATCCAAATTCAAGTGTCTAGATTATTTTCTTCCAATTTACACTGAGATGTTTGAGTATAAAACACATATATGCTGGTGTATTCTGTTATATTTTATCATTTTTTCAGCACTTTGGGGGGAGAGGGAGACAAAAACTGTCAAGAGAAGGTTTGACTCATGTTGGTGAGGATGGATCCTACTAATATTTGTGTGATTGGGAGAAATGCCACTAAATTGAGACAGCAGAAGACAACCTTCCTTCCCTCTCTTAATTTTACAAAGCAGTATCTTATAGTGCTTTAAATTACACAGGAGCTGCAGTTTGTACCCTGTCCCATTCTTTAGTCCTACAAAGGCTCCAGTGGGAATCTCCTCACTGGAAGTGGCACCTACATCAAAAAGTCTTTGAGATGCTCTAATGGCAGTAATGCAAAATATACTGGAATTTAGTTGACCCTGCTCATCTCTCTCTCTCTCTCTCTCTCTCTCTCTCTCTTATCTGGAAGTACAACATCTAGGTATGCAGTTTCCATGGGTTGCTCTAATGGCAGTAATGCAAAATATACTGGCATTTGGTTGACCCTGCTCATCTCTCTCCATCTCCATCTCCCCCCCCCTCTCTCAATCTTATCTGGAAGTACAAAATCTAGGTATGCAGTTACCGTGGGTTCCTAAAGTGATGGGTTAACTGATAGTTAAACAAAACAGCAAACTAATCTGAGAGCTTTTGTGCTCATCTGCTCGGAACATGTTCCTGAGATTTGGGCAGTTTGCAGGTCACATGAACCTGAAAAGCCATGAAGTTCATGTAGTGACATTTGGAAGAAAGGTGAAGATGACAGGTGAAAAAGGAAGTGGTGAAAAACATGGGAAAAGGTGAGAAGTCAGATCATCAAGTACAATATGGAATAGACAGAAGGAGATGGGAGGGATTATGAAAACAAGCAAATGGAGACCCTCTTGCAGCATGTCAGGCAAAACTGAAAGGGCAGAAGGAGATGGGAGGGATTATGAAAACAAGCAAATGGAGAACCTCTTGCACCATATCAAGCAAAACCGGAAGGAAAAAAAAGACAATAGAGAAAAACATTGTGGCAACTTGAAAACTGTTATATTTTAATGTGAGCTTTCATGGACAAGTCTACTTCTTCAGACAACCACTACTTTTATTGCTGATACAAAAAAAAATCAATCTACTCCACATTACAGAGAAAACAGAAGATCCCCTTACACAATTTCAGCAACAAATGTTGTTCCAGGCCGTTCTTTGAAGGATATTTTATCAACTATACAAACGAACTGGGAAGAGATTACTCCAATGTTGAAGTTCCCTCTTTGATGGTACTGTTGTGGGGTTGAAGGGAGGTCAGTCATTGTACACATGGCACAATGTGTCATATAGTCACTTTGAGACAGCTGGGGCCAGAGTGAAAGCAACACCGACAGAAAAATCCATGCCATCTTTGAGCTATTCTTGACAGAAATGTCCCTGTCTTTATCTGTAATTCATCTCAGCTGAGTTAAAATAGCTTACCTTGGAAGGTTCTGAACTTATTTTGATAGTTTAGAACTTCAGACAGACTCACCCTTCCTAATCAGAGGTCCAGATTGCGGTTTTCAATAACACAGGGGCATTTTATCTCAGACTGTGCCCTTGTTTTGTCTGAGCCTTAGGACTCTCAACATGGGAACTGGCATAATGAACAATGAACCCCAGCAATTTGAGATGATCATAGGTTTCAAAATAATATGTCTACAGCAGAGTTCAGTTCAAAATAACAAAATCTCCTTCTAATTTACAAACACTTGTGACATCCTGGCTCAAAGAGGCTTGGAGAGAGAAATAAGCAGTAACATTTTGGGATATGGAATTTACACAGAGAATGGGATTAACAAACACTTGTGACATCCTGGCTCAAAGAGGCTTGGAGAGAGAAATAAGCAGTAACATTTTGGTATGTGGAATTTACACAGAGAATGGGATTAATGCATGTCCTTCATTATGAGTGAAGGTTGTGAATCCATGAAGTGCCTCCCCCTACTCATTCCACTTGTGTGGTAAAAGGTTGGCATATTTAAGGTTTGGTAGGTTTATCATGCACATTTCCTTTGAAAAACACAATTTATTTATTTATTTTTTATTTATTTAATTTATATGCTGCCCACACTACCCAAAGGTCTCGGGGCGGCTTACATAAGTGAGTCTCCCAAAATGTAATGCACAATGATGTCAGTGAAGGATTTATACTGTGTTTGATATAATGGGGATAATAATACAGTAGCAGACTAAATGATGTTTCTAGCTAATTCTGTGCCTTTAGTGTTTTGATGAACTACAAGTATAGGATTTTCAGTCATGTGCATATAATCAAGAATCTCATGTTCCAAAGCAGCTCCAGATTTCTAACATGCCTGCTGGTTGAAATTAAAAAAGCAAAACAAAACAAAAACCACAATCCTTTCACACTTGTTGAAAAACCACCCTGACAATAACTTTGTGTTTAGATAAGAAAGAATAAACTGATGAAAAAAATGAGTCAGTTTCTGAGCTTTTCCCCCACTTGCTGTCTCTGTGAATAGTTGTGAACACAAGAAGGCATCTTGTAGACCATCTTAGATCATAGAATCATAGAAAAGTGAAGTTGGAAGGGGCCTGCAAGGTCATCAAGTCCAGCTCCCTGCTCATTGCAGGAATACAATCACAGCATATCTGCCAAGTGATTATCAAAGTTTTTCTTGAATGCCTCCAGCATTGGAGCACTCACCAACTCCCGAGGTAACTGGTTCCACTGTCGTACTGTTCTAACAGTTAGGAAGTTTTTCCTGATATTCAACCGAAATCTGGCTTCCTTTAACTTGAGCCCATTGTTGTGTGTCCTGCACTCTGAGATGATCTAGAACAGATGTTGTTCCCTCCTCTGTATGACAGCCTTTCAACTATTTGAAAAGTGCTATCATATCACCCTTCAGGTTTTTTTTATCAAGGTTAAACATGAACAGTTCTTTCAGCCTTTCTTCATAAGGCTTGGTTTCCAGCCCCCTGATCATCCTTGTCGCCCTCCTCTGAACTTGTTTCAATTTGTTAGCATCCTTCTTGGAGTGTGGTGTCCAGAACTGCTGCCATTGGTGTTGTCAATAATCAGGCTGCCCTTTGCTATGTAAAGCTTGGCATCCCTTTTCCTGCTGGCAACACAGGCATGATATTGTGCAGCAATATTGGGCTATTTCCTGGCTTTTTGAATTTTAGGTACAGAAGCACAATATCCCACATTCATAAATGAGAGAGGTTTTTTTAAAAAAAATAATTGAATATAGTTAAAGTTTGCTGATATGGGTGCTGCTCTCTACGTTGCTTTTTGCACTGTGATCATACCAGTAGTACCTACTTAGTTTTGTATTAACACTACATATGTGACTTTTGGATATGTAACAGAGTCCAACAGTTCAGCTACACCCATCAGGTGCTTCTTACTGACAATATCTTTGAAGTAGCCACAAAGAAACAGAAAAGCACATTGCTCTCACTATCTATGTGGACAAAATGGTTTCTTCTTTGGCCTTTCATGCTGGTGCGGTCACTTCTGGGAATCTGTCTGCTTTCGCTCCGGGAAGCTAATTTCAATGAAATAACAGCGAAAGTTCTTTCTCTCTCTTTCTCTTTCTCTCTCCTTCTCTCCCCCCCCCCATGTTCATGCACACATGTACACTTAGCTTTAGAAAGGGAAGGTTGCAATGTAAAGGGTTTTTTGTATCTTGATCTCATGTTGAAAGTGGAATCTGTTGCAGACACTCAGTCTTCAACAGGCTTGCCATGTCAAGTCATCCATTACCATTTTCTTCATACTCCACTCTTAAAGGATGCAGAATAAAAGGGAGGAGCAAACAGCTCAAAGACTTTTATCAGTTTCACACCCTGCAGCATTTTTTACCTAAGACAGATGCCTAATTGTTGCCAGCCTAAACCATATCAGAGCCAAAGCACAAATACGAGTAGGAATTATCATGGTGGGGGGAACCAGTTATTTTCTGCAAGCCAAAGACACTAAAAGGTTCCTATTGATTATAAAAACAGGGAAAATCACCTTGATGCTAAGGTGAATAAGATCCTTAGATGCCTCGCAGAAGCAAAATTCATTCCACAGATTGAGAGCTGAGAAACTGAGAGAAGGACCTCCTGGGAGATATTAAGAACCAGATGGATATCATCAGCACACTGGTGGTACCAGACCACAAAATTCTGGGCAGTCTTTTTCAAGTTTTCATGTATATGTGAAATAGTATGGACCTCATGGAACCTTGATTCTGGGCAGTCTTTTTCAAGTTTTCATGCATATGTGAAATAGTATGAACATCATGGAACCCTGAGACACTCCAAAGACACTCCAGAGGTCAAGGTGTTGAACAGGAGTCCTGCAGCACCACTACCCCATACAAGGTGACTCCTTTTTTCATCACTTCACCACTTCTCACCCAAACACAAAGCAGCTGTCAGGACTGCTTTTTGACAAGTGTGAATGGCAGTGAGCGGAAGAGGGTATCTTATAGACCATCTGGACTGCTGCCATTAGTATTGTCAACATTCTGGCTGACATTTGCTATGTAAAGCTTGGCATCATTTTTTTCCTGCTAGCAACACATGATATTGTGCAGCAACACTGAGCCATTTCCTGGCTTTTTGAAGCATGGGTACAGAAGCACAATATTCCATATTCATAAATCAGAAGTTCTTTTGAAGAATTGAATATCTCTGATGGTAAAAAGAATGTTTGGAAATAGATTGATTTATTTTATTTTATTTTTTCGTCGCATTAATTGTTCTCTATTATTCAGCTCAGGTGTCAGTACAATGATATAGCATTTAGGGAAAAAGATACAAACTAGCAGCCCAGCGCCGGAGGACAAGATGGAGAAGATCTCCACAGCCACCATATATTTGCCTTTTGTGCTCAGGTATGTTGGAACAAAGGACCCCCAAACAAAGCAAAACACTAGCATGCTGAAAGTGATAAATTTGGCCTCATTGAATCTACTGGGCAACTTCCTGGCTTTGAAAGCCACAAGGAAGCTGACAATTGCTAGGAAGCCCAAATATCCCAAGACACAATAAAACATAAAAGATGAACCCTCATTACATTCCAGAATGATCTGCCCATGCAATGAATGCATGTCCACGTCAGGGAATGGAGGACAAGTGCTTAGCCAAACTATACAAATGCCTGCTTGAATACAGGAACCAGAAACAACAATCAAATGTGCAAGCCCTTTCTTTACACATCTCCCCATCCTTGATCCTGGTTTCGTAGCCATGAATGCCAGAATCACTGTGATGGTTTTTGCCAAAATGCTGGAAAGTGCTACAGAGAAGACCACACCAAAAAATATTTGTCGGAGAAGGCAGGTCACCTTTCCTGGCTGTCCAATGAAAGACAAGGCACAGAGAAAACAAAGAAGGAGGGAAGTTAGTAGAGTATAAGAGATACTTCTATTGTTAGCTTTGATGATTGGAGTGTCTTTATGCTTCAAAAATATTCCAAGCATTAAAGTTGTGGTGAAGGCTAGGAAAGTAGCCAAAATAGCCAAGACAATCCCTAATGTGTCTTTGAAAGAAAGAAAGCTTACAGTCTTGGAAATGCATTGAAATTTGTCCTCATTGGGATATTTATCTTCTGGACATCTGATACAAGCATCCATGTCTGAGTGGGGGGAAAAGAAAGAAACACAAAGAATCTGTCAAATATTTTTGCTTATCAACTGAGTTACAGGATTGTATAAAAGATTTCAAATGTGCTGAACCTATGTATTGTAGTGATTGCACATATGTCCCACAAATAAACAAAAGCAAACAAAGTTATTCTGTTATCTGCAGAAGACACCTCCTACCCTTCTGATGAGAGATCATCCCTTCTGGACATGGTGCACAATCGTAGCAGCAAAATTCTTGTCCCTCCTTCTTTTGCTTGCTGAAGCCAGGATAGCAGTTGTAGTTGCACACAGATACAGGCAACACCTGTCCAGAAACAATCAGAATGACTATCAGAAACAGAACATGTCTTGAGAACAGCTGACCCACAAATACAGTGCTGTTAAGTGTGATGGTGTTAAGGAAAGCAGCTGATTTCTCCCTAGCTTAGTTCAGAAAGGAACTTCAGCAACTCTTTTAAATATAAGGTGAGCTTTTCAAATCCCCCCCAAAAATCCTGTGACAACTTTACAACCAGTGAGATGTGTGCACGCTTGTTTGTTTTGGCACAAGTTTTCATGGACTACAGCACACATCTTCAGATCAGTATAGTCTCAGCATAGTCTCAGTTTATCCCTGAGAAGGATACAAGATGAGCTGTAATAGAAATGCTTTACATCTGTTCTGTGGATAGACAACCTGTAATTGTTAGGATGCTTGAAAAACCTTAAGGATAACAAATTGATATCTAAATGGTGATTGTTAAGAGTCATTCCTATGTCAGTGATGGGTGACAGGTACTTTCAAGCATACTCAGTCAGGTTAACACACCTGAAAAGGGGAGGGGGAGTCCTGGTTCAAATCTAGTATAATGAAAAAACATGGTCTACAATGTGATGAATATTAATACATACAAGTCTGCATGAATGAGATGATAATTAATATGGGAGAGAGAGAGAGAAGAAGAAGAAGAAGACATTGATTTTTTATTAAATCCAGATGTAAGTGTCTTTATGGCTTCTTGTTTCCATTTGTAATCTGTCTCTGAAGCTGTTTTAGCCCAAGATTGGTAGCCCTGAGATCAGAGACAGAACATCTGGGGAGGGCTGAGGTGTTTTCTCATTGGATTCTCATTAGCTGCTGTTAGTCAATGCTATT